CATTTTGTCATCAAATGACATGTGCATTTAAATATCGAATAAAATTGTAATTTTATCAAAGATTAGTAAATTTGATCAACAAAAAATTGAATCACATTTATTCTTTTCTTTCATAAGATTCAAAATATATCAAAGATAGGAAATATATATATATAATATCCGATTTATCAATCGCTTAGACTTTCTTTTTTGAATCTAATGCGATCAATAGGGAACTATTTGACCCAATTAGACTAGCTGTTTTTTTTTGTTTTCCTTCATCCATTGATAATAAAGAGAGAGAGAGAATTACATCACGTTTCATGTCTTTGTATTATTCTTATTAGACATTCTGCTGAATATTTAGACGTTTTTTTTAAAAAGAAATAATCAAATCATAAATATTATAATCTCTTTTGAAAGAATAGATTAATCTTCTGTAATAACTAAGAATAATTTTCCGACATTCTACTATATTTAATCAGTGATTTACCTGTCTAAAATTACAAAAAGAAGAACGATATTGAAATAAATATTTCAAAATTTGCAGCAACTTAATGCATCAATATCTTTTATTTTATGGTTTGTCAAATATAATGAAAAACGGCAGTTAGCACATTGAAAAAACAGTCACCATCAATCAAATATAATAACCTATTATGACAAATATGTCAACCGAATAAACTGAATTCCTTACATCAAGCATGGGGTAGTTGAATCAATAAATAATATACTATAAGTTGATCACTCTTTTCATCTTTAATATGAGATTTTTCTTGAATTAAAAAAAAAAGGAAAGCCGCAAACTATTTCTATTATCATAATCGATCATTCTGAACATGTACAAAGAAAGAAAGAAGGAAAAAGAAAATCTGTTCATTAACATTCAAATCTATTTGACAATTCTATCAATCAAAAGATTTGATCTATTCAAAATTCTACAACAACGAATAAGATGAATAATTTTACTAAATGTTCTTTTTATCATCATCATGCATAAATTTTGATGAACTAAACAAGAAAAAAAAACAAATAAGTGTTATAAAGTATATATAGGCAACAAAAAGAAAACAAATAAATCAATCATAAGAAAAAGAATAATAATAAAGGCTTTGCACACACATAATGCATAACATGAACACCGGCTTCTTTTTTGTGATGTGCACAAAAAAAAATTAAAAAAAACACAAAAGGCACATTATATATATATATATAGATTATCTGTTATTTTTTTCTAATATTTAAGATGAGTTTCTTTTTTTTTATCTACTGCAAAAAAAGATCTCATTTTCTATGTTTTATCATTCTCTATCGTTGAAGTTAGAATAGTTGTTTGTTTTTTAAGTTGTAGAAAAAAAGCTTACATAGCGTTAAATAAAAGAAAAACAAAAACAAGCGTAGATGTTAAAAAACACGAATATGAATGGAAGGTGCATGATGCAAAAAGCGAAAACAAATGTGCGTTATTTTGAATCTAGACGTTTTTTGTTTGAATATTTTTGAAAGAAGATAATAGAAAGAAATCAATTATAAAAGAATGAGAATATGAAGAAGCTGTTCGAAGTAAATAGTTCAAGACAGGTGAATATTTTATTAGCATTCTCTTTCTGATCAACTATGTACAACGACATTGAATAACACACAACATTAATAAATCAGACGATGAAAAACGAATCAAAACCAGAAAAGAAAGATCACTTGTCTTTGTCAATATCATCATTGACAATATCTTGTTCATCGTCACTTTCTTCACTGTCACTTCGTTCATCTTTTTCTACCTATAATTAAAAAAATAATGTATTATATTTTATAGACACAAATAATCCTTATTCTGTATTCGAATTGCTTCATCAATTTAATCGTCTCATATTTCGATGACAACAAAAGAAGAACATAAGAGCAAATATAGACAAATACACTCCTCTAACCAAACAGAAAAGGTATACATACACACACACACACACATGTATTCTCTTATAGGGTTCTAAATATATACTGAAATGCAATACTACTAGCTTTAGTGATGATTCTAAAAGAAATAAAAGAATACTAATCATACTTTGCCAGCTTTGAAAGCTGAAATAGCCACTTGACAAATTAGATAGAACCAAAAATAGTGAAGAATTTGAAGAAGTATTAGAAGTCCATTGAACATATAATAAGCAGGAAATGAGCCAAGAATAGTGAATTCTTCAAACGTCGTCGTATACAATACTCTATAGTTAGTAAGAAAATGATTTTAAAAAAAAAATGTATTAAAAAAACGAAATATAATCTATTGTTTACTTATATGGATAAAAGCATAAACGTGTTATAAACCAAACAACGGCAAATATCACGAAGGTTGTATCACAGAGTCGCTGTGCTCGCGCATACTTAGCCATTTTGGCACCCTGAAAAAACAAAATCAATTTCGAATAAAACAAAAAAAAACATATCATATATCATTACTTCAAGCCAATAATCTCCAGCATCATGTACAACAAGTACTAATGTTCCAACACGTACAAAATTGACAATATAAGAAAATGAAAGTAATGATATTGTAGCAATATGATGAATAAACATTTGCCAAAAATCTTTTCGTTTAACATCAATAAATTGTGAAAAGACTAATGACCAATAAAATGCAAGTTCAATCATATAATACCAATAAATATCATTTGTTAATTGATGATTTGGATAATTTAACCAACAATGACGTGTATCCCATAACCAAATTTTCTTAAAGAAAAAAAAAAAACAAAAAAATAAAATCTATAATTTATTTTTCAAAAATACTTCTGTCTTTTTTTTTATCAATTTACATTTTTTAAAATTAGAAGTCCGTATAAAAATATACCAAGATAAAATGTAAAACGCCATGTTGATTCACTAAATTTAGCCAATGGACTAATACGTGTACGACGTTGTTTTTGTTTATTATTATTATTATTATCATATGATTTAGTATGATTTAATAACTTTCTGTCAATTCGTTGTGTATTCAATTTATAATCCCGTATACCAAGTGATCGACCAAGTGGTTGAGCAATACAATATTCAAATAATAAACGTGTTAAATAAAGTAAACCAGCTAATGGATAAACATAAATAAGATGATGAATATGCGGTAGACGAATATTATTTTGTTCAAGTTGATTAAAATCTTTCCATGTTGTATTTTGTGGTAACCAAAAATCATCATTCCAAATTGATAGATTCATTTTTTTTTGTTTTGTTTTAAATAAGAACAACACTACATAATGAAAGTATATATACTATATGTATATATATATATATGCATAATTCTTAAATCATGATCTAAATTAAAATAAATGTTTCAATATTTGTCTTTCGTCAATAGACACAATTACTTGAATCGATACATAAGAAAACAAAAACGAAAACGAGTTAAGATATATTGACAAAAAAAAAAATCGATGAAGCCTAGTTATTTATTTATTTCGTTGTCTTCTTTCTGCTCCTTTTTTTTCTTTTCTATCTATTCACAATTTAGTGTTGCTGTCTGCTTTGCTTTGCTTGCTTGCTGTATTTTTTTTCTTCTCTTCTTTTCCCTTTCGTCGTCAGCGTCAATGACGAATCGGAGAAATTTTAAGAGGTCACTAGTTGTTATATTTTTCTGAGAGGCGGATGTTTTATGTTCTTTATTTAATAGTAGATTAATAAATAAAAATTTGTTCAGCTGATTTACATAAATTATTAAACCATAAACGTTCAAATGAATGATTTTGTTTTTTTAAAATAATATCGACCATAACCATATTTATTATCTTCAAACCAATATCTATTTATTCAAAGAGAAGATTAACACAAAAAAAAAAACAAATAAGAAAAATTTTATTTTTAATATTTATCCTTCATAATGATTACCATTAACTATGAAAATAATTTATATAAAATTAAATATTTTTTGAATATCTAATGTATTCTACCTGTCAACAATAGACCAAGATCATGTCGTTTATTGTTAAATCATTCACCTTCACTTGTTATATTCAAAAAAAAAACACAATGAAGTAGATAAGATTTCTTTGTTATCATAATTAACAAATGTTTAAGTTCCGAGAATGTCAATTAGTTCATTTCTTGTTAATCATATTTATTTCAATGTCTTTATCAGTAAAATTTTCTTTTCCTTCCTCTTTTGTACATTTGTCAAGTGTATACTTTTTTACATATATCTATTCATGCAACATATATATGAGAATAGTAAAAATAATAAATCATATGAACTTTGTGAAGTTTGATATATGCACCAAAATGTTGAAAAAAAAAATTCTATCTTGTGATGAATTGGATTTCAATATGATCTAAAGATAATTAATGTTCATAATGGCAAAACATCGTTTGCATTAGCATGAATGTTGTTGTTTTTATTCTCAACCGTTTCGTCATAATTAGATTAGCTGATGCTATTAATTTGATATTCAGACATGTAGAAAATAAATCTTAGTCAGTGTTTTTCCGAAGATTGCATTAGCCTTCTCCAGAATTTATGATTATTGTACTACATACTATGCGCTGTTTGTGCTTCTAAAAATAGATACTTTTCCTCATGGAGTTGTAAATTGCCTCTCCGGAAGTACAAATTTGGATAAAACATTGATCTTAGTACGTTCAATATATAGATAACAAGAAAAAAAGAAAGAGAAACAACAGTCACACATATTTTATTTGATTTATATGTTAAAATTGAAGAAAAATAAAAAAATATATATAACTTACTACATATCTCCATTTTCATAATACATTCGTTCCCATCAAGATTTTTTATTATTTAAAAATTCTCCTTGATAATATGATAAATGATTTATATATAACGTTCCATAACCATGTTTTTGATTACGTAACCATTCATCATGATATATATATATTATTATTATTATTATTTAAATAAATATTTACATATAAACGAGATTTTTCTATTTGTTGATTAAAATTTTTTTTTTCTAATGAATATTTTATTTGATTATGACAAAAAGGCATTATTATTATTGTTCTTTTTTTTTTATAGATTTATGGCGGGTAGTACATTAATTTTAGGTAAAAATGAATTTAAATTACTTGATCAAATTGGTTCTGGTACATATGCTAAAGTTTATAAAGCTATTGACTATCAACATCAACGTGAAGTTGCTATTAAATGTATGTTACTTGATAGTGAACGTTATGGTCTTCTTTGTGTTGTTATACGTGAAATAAATCTTTTACTTGAATTAAAACATCCAAATATTGTTCATTTATATGATATTATAAGACGTGAAAATGAAATCTATTTAATATTTGAATATATGAATACAGATCTATATCAATATATGTTACATAATCATCGACCATTACCAGATATTCAAGTTAAAGTTTATTTTTATCAATTATTAAATGGTTTAGATTATTGTCATATGAATAAAAGTTTGTTTGATATTAATAGAAAAGAAAAAAAAAAGAAACATTTACTTATGTTTTTCTTTTTCTAGTTTTTCATCGAGATCTCAAGTAAGTGAAAAAAAGAACTATTAATAATGAAAGTCTCGTATTAGAATGCAACAAAATAACAGCGTGAAGTAATTTATTTCGGAAAAAAAAAACATCTATAATGAGATTTTTCTACTAGAAGAGCTAATTTCCCAAAGGACTTTACCGTTCTATTTGGGTGATGAATTTTATTGATAAAAGATTATAAAATGTAGTTTATGATACGATTCTGCTGAATACGACATAAAATGATGACTAAGATGAAAATCTTGTCTTAAAAAGATAAAAATTAGAAATAAAAGATCTTAAACTAGTAAAAAAAACTGACATTGGAAATATATTCATAGGAAAGCATGATTCAATAATTCAAATATATAATTTACAGTTCTCTTTTAATCTAACAATTGGTGATTTTAGAGAACATTCTAATCACTAAACAAGTAGTCAATATTGTTCATCCATGGTTACGAATTGCTCTTCCAGAATGATTATTTTATTCTTGAAAAAATCGAATGCGGCGAGCATTGTTCAAGCTTTACGCAAAATTTTCCTACTTGTATACTGACAAGGCCAGTGCTGTTCAAAATATGAAGTTTCATTGTAATTGATGCATACCTTATTCGATAGATTAAATTGAAGTAAGAAGCACTCACAAAGAGTTCGGGTTCTCTGGCGAAGAACTAAAGTCGTTGTACTGAAAATTTGTCTATGAATAGATTTAATAGTCATCAGATAATCATGACAGTTTCAATGAGAACAATCACGTCTGTCTCGAGATATTCAATATCTAAGTACATTCAGTGGTTGTGTCCTTCTATGGTAAACTGTTGTTTTTTCTTTTGAAAATTGAGTATCTCGAGAAAGACATGTGTATTTCCATAGCAACTTTCAGGAATATCTAATGACTATTAAATCTAATCATAGGCAAAGCTCTTCAGTTTTGTTTCTTTTTCGGAAATGAATGACTCTCAATAAAAATTTCGGTATAACAGCCATAACTTCAAGTCATAATCCCAAAAATAATCTGAATTAAGCAATAAAAGAAAACAAGAATCTAAAAGAAATTCTTTTACTTTTATCAATCATACTTAGTAAAAGTCTTTTCATTAATCTATCATAGTTTCTTAAAAAAGAATGTTTTATATTATTTTATCGTTAATTCTAATTTAATCTTCTTGTTTTCCTTTTTTTTATTATTTATCAGGCCTCAAAATTTATTATTAGACACAAAAGGTACATTAAAAATAGCAGATTTTGGTCTTGCTCGTGATGCAACCATACTTAAACGTGCTTATTCAAGAGATATTGTTACATTATGGTATCGACCGCCGGAAGTATTACTTGGTATCGATATCTATTCAAGTGCTGTTGATATATGTATGTAATTTTTTTTCTCTTTTATTCTTTCAATAAATCGATTGCCTTATTATAGGGAGTGCTGGTTGTATATTTGCTGAAATGTTACGAAATTCACCTTTATTTAAAGGTGATTGTGAAATATCACAATTATTTTGTATTTTTCAAGTTTTAGGTAAATACTTAAATTATAAGCATAATTAAATATTGATACAATAGTAGACAAAAATTTTCCTCCGTATCTCAACTACCATACATGCTATAGGTCAAAAAACTTATGTGCTCACATTCTACTGAGGATGTAGATCTGAAATACGAGATTAGCTTTGAAAAAGAAGAACTTTGTGGATCGACTCATTCGTCATACTGGTTATCTACCGTATTAATTTCATCGAAAGTTCATCAACCATTCCTAGAATTATAGTTATTTTTTCATGGCTATTCGAGTAGGAAAAAAACTATGTGTTGACCTTTGGAGATCATAACTTAATAATGATTCAGTATATTGAGCTGAAACGGAAAGAATCTGATCTTTTTTTGGACTAAAAACAGAGTATAGATTCGGCTCTACTTGTATGCTAAAATCCTTCATCATTACTATAATTCGTTCTCTTTAAGGTACACCAAATGAAAAACTATGGCCTGGTGTTTCATTATTATCTAATTATAAGTCTGATTTTCCACAATGGCAACCAACATTATCACTTAATAAATATGTTCATTTAACAAATGATAAAGCTGAAGATATATTAATACGTTGTTTATGTTATCTATCTGAACAACGTATAACCGCTAAACAAGCTTTACAACATTCTTATTTCATACAAGAAGATGAACATATTTCATTATCATAGTATTTAAACCGGTGTTTTGTTTTGTTTTGTTTTTTTGAAATAAATCTGTGTTAATTTTTGTATAGATACAAGAATCGTTGAAAAAGTTCCGAAATTAATTTTATTTAAATAACAACAAGAAGCATTGTTGCATTAGTATTGTTGTTTGTGTATATTTCATACAGTCGTCGATCGCTCTGATTGATTAAGCATGTATAGTTTTGGATGGTGAATTCCCATCCAATATTTATCAACATATGGTAATAGATCATAGTAATAATGCTCTTTTACCTATTATGATTTTTGAACGGACTCGTCGTTGTAAAGATAAAGCATTGATATATGAGTGATGTGTAAGTTTTCAGGTGTTATCAAATATCATATTCATTTTGAATAGGTTTCAATCATATGTAATTGATCATTTGAAATGCAAAAATTTATCATTGAAGGATGCTTAATCGATCAAAGTTCATGACGTCTATAGATTGACGACTGTATGAATTACACACAGCCAATAATATTAATGCAGCAGTACTTCTTGTTATTTTCTAAATAAAATCAATCTCAGAACTTTTTGAACGATCCTCGTATACATTTTATTTCTTATCTAGACCTAAATTTTATTTCGAGTCAACAAAAAAAACAAACAAACGAATGATTTTAGTTTATGTTTCGTCCACGTACACAACAAATTAATTTAGCTGTACCACTATATATAATAGTTAATAGGAATGTTAAGATAATACCAATCCATAGAACTGTACATGAATAATTAGAACATAGATGATTATATTTATGTTGTACACAATATATATATCCGATGATGGAAAAAACACAACATATTAAAGATAACAAACTCATAATACTATAAAATATAATATGAAATATTGTCGCACGTCGTAATGTTTCCGATGTAAAAATTGATAAAAGAAGATAATAAATATCTGTTGATGTCATGAAAAGAATTGTAATTGAAAATAATAAAGAACTCATATTATTAAAACCAAATATAATACCAAATCGACATGAACCAAATATATGTGAGAATAAAATAAGTAAAATTTCGATGATAATACGAATTATATGCATAGCACCAATACGATCAAAAGGAAACATTATTTTAATGAAGAGAAAAAGGAAAAAGAATATAAAACTAATATTATTGAAAATAAAAGATTATGCTTAACAATTTCGTTATTTTTTTATCATATATGTGTAAATTGAAAGCGGGATATTTTCAACAAAATTATCGATCATAGAGGCGATTGAAGTTAGTTGAATACCTTTAAATGATCTATCTTTGATATTGACCATCAAAGAATAAAGAGCTGCGCGTTTATGTTTTTGTAGACCTGATCGAGTCTATGCTCGAGTTTTTTTTCATTATTATCTGACATTCTGTCTGTACATGATTAAATGAATGATAAAGATCAGTTCTTTTCTATTTAGAATCGAAATTGAATACAAATCGGCTCTGAAATTAAAATCTAGATATGGATCTGGTCGAGTTTGCCATCGGATCTGAAACAACTAGCAGCTGACTATCGATAGAATGAAAAGAGAAGGAAAAATAACAACTTTCATAGGGCTTCAAGTCCTAAATCACAATGTAAATCATTTTTCGTACTAAATCTCAGTTATATTTAAAAAGTAAATATCACTATTTTTAGATACTTTGATGCTTTTAGTCTTCTTATTCTATCTGACAGATGAACTCATTTACTTTAATAATCGTATCTCTTGATTTTTTGATTACTGCTACCATGATCAATCTTATACATGAATTTTTTAATAGTTTGAACTGTATTTATTAAATTAATCTTTTACTTTTCCCATTTGATCACTTGAGTAATCATTTGTAGAAGAATTGCAGAAAATAAATGAAAGATGAAATTGAAAAACTTTGAGAAAATATCTTATAGTGAACTTTACAAACTAACAATTAATAAAATGATTTCGTTTTTGAGTTACTCCATCTCGGAAAGAGATGGCTTACAAAATCCAGAAGTTCGAAAAAACTAAAAAGGCTGGATTTTTAAGAGATTGTAAAATACAGCAAGACCTCCTAAGGAATTCTAGAAAACTAAACCGCTAGTTTTTCAGCGCCTACAACTCTATTATAAAATTTTCTTCCATCATACGTAATTATAGAGCGAACGATATCCTACAAAATGAGACATTCCCCAAGCTCTCTACGCCTTTTTTCCATCGAACTACATCAGATTTACGAGAGACCTTCAGTAAAATTTTTGTCTAACCGTTCTCACTCTAATGATCATTATAATAACCAAACTACCGTCACAAATCAGAGTATGTCTGATCATTCCTCATAAAACGATAATGGGTTAACATTATTTTAATACAAATATTAATATTTTAAGAATATACAATGAATAATATTTTGTATATTTTATATTTATATCAAGTATCGATCGTTTTCAAGATTAATTTTTCAATGCTATTTCAAGAATGTTAATTCTATCAATTTTAGAGTTTCATAAATCTAAGTAAAATATAGATTTTTGAAGCATGTATTTTTCCCAAATATAATAATTTTTCATAAAATTCGAAGATGATCATTTTGTATCGAACACTAATAATAGTTGAGATATTTTGACATATAACTTAAAAATAGAAATCAGGCTTTTTCTAAATTACTGTTAATCGACATTCGAGAATGAAAGAGTAATCTTTTGGAAAATCACAATCTTCCTAATATTTATCTATATAAAGTACAATAATATGTCTTATAGGAAATGCATTCGAACTTGAAATGACTTCCTATATATGAAATATTATCATTTTTCAGTCGAATTATATTCAATGCGTTTCCATATATATCAATCTTCAAAATAATTATTACCTTCTTATTAATATATTGCTTTGACTTTTAACAATTGAATGTGTTAGAAAGTCTATAGAACTTCCTATTATCTTGAAATGAATATATGTAATTATATAAGAGAATTTTATTATTATGAAAGTTTATGAATTGGTAATATTTGTTGAATTTGCTTGCCTTAGAAAAATTCTTTTTCAAATGCGGTAACATTTGTAAAATGTTGCTCGATACTTGATTTATGATGTTTGATAACATGAAAAGGAAAATGAAAATAATTCTTCAAAGAAATGACATCTTGACATTCGAAAAACGCCATTAAATATCATCTGTCACATATTACTTTACATGAAATCAAGGTTTTCTCCTTGAGTTAAATCATAGATTGACTCAAAAAAACATAATATCAATGATTTCTTAAGGTTTTCTGGAGAATAGCTTATCAGAAAAATTTGAATTTTTCAGAACAAACAGATGTTGACGATTAGAGCAAAAACTATCATTCCGAATGCTGTTTTCTATGAGATACTGGGATCACAATTTTTACTCCTTGTTTCTCTGAGATGATCGAGCTGAAAATTTTCCTTTGCAATAGGTTTCTTTTTATTTTTTGCGTTTCAAAGACAAAATATCGAAGATACCCTAAAAAATGCCTTTTTTCCGAAACAAAAAAAAAACCAAATATCCATCCCAAACAGTGAATAGCATATATATGAAAAAAGTTTCAGCTCGATCAGATATAGTGTGCCGGAGAATGGATGGATTTCTACACATTTTTTCCATGAAAAAGTTGGTTTGGAAAAAAAGCAATTCGCTATTTCCGTTAGGTAAATTTGATTTTTTTAGCATTTAAAAACAATTTTTATACTGAGTAGATACATACTACTTCGGATTATACCGTGACTACAAAAAACCAGAAAGAGAGTGGGTATCTACATAATGTTGGGTGTTCAGTAAGCATAGCATTTTTTTTTTATTGGCAAAGACAATAGAAGAATAATAAACTGTAACATAAGTAATTTTATGATATGTTTACAATTAAAGATCTTAATATAAAATATTTAATGAGAATTTGTTTTGAATATATACTTACATAAACTTATGTTTTATTCTTTTAAATTTATTATTAAACCTCGACAAAAAAAAAAAAAGAAGAAAAAAACTATTCCATCTAAGAACTTCATCTTTTCATTAAAAATCACACACATAAAAGAAAACAAAAAGAAAAAGAAAAAAACAACCGGGCAACAATTATATATTATAATACAAGTAAATAGTCAATTTAATTCGTTTGTTGATAATTGTCTATATTTTTTGTCATTAATTGTTGTTGTTTTTGACATAATATATGATTTATTTGACAAAATGATGGTCGATCATAATCACATTTATGCCAACATGATGATATTAAATCAATTAAATCTAATCCACATGATGGTATAAGTAAATAATGATTTGAATTACGTAAATTACATAGAACTTGATTATCATCTAATAAACTATGTGGTCGTTCAGCCATAGTTAATATTTCCCAAAGAAGTATACCAAATGAAAAAACATCAGATTTCGATGTAAAACGATTCTAAAAATTAAAATTTATATTGTTTTTTTTTTTTTTTAAATACAAAATAATAAATCTTCATCTTACTAAACAAATTGTTTCCCATGCACACCATCGAATAGGTCGACGTGTTTCAATATCATTACCAACAGTTACTAAAACATAATCATCTGTATATATTTCATTAGACATAGCTAAATCATATAATTTTAATGTTAAATCAAGTGTAACTAAACAATTTCTTGCAGCTATATCACGATGATAAATATGTAATGATTCTAAATATGTTAATGCTGATGCTATTTGAGAACCAAAAAAAATAGTTGTTGCATAAAGACTATCATTCATTTGTTGTTCTTGTTTATAATGTTGAAGATATTGATAAAGATCAATACTTGTTAAATCTAATGATTCAGTTAATAATGACACTGTTGGTTCAGAACAAAAACCATATGCATGAATTATATTTGGATGACAAAGTGAAGTTAATAGACTAATTTCATTAAAAAATGATATTCTAATTTTAAAATAAATACAAAAACAAAAACAAATATATTAATTAAAAATCCAAAAATTTGTGTATATATATTTTTTTTTATTTACTTTGATTGTACAGATGCA